TTTGGAGGAGCCCCAGGACTCCACACAGACATGAGGCAACACCTGGTTGTACAAAAGGATTGAACTATTTATAGAATAAAAAACATCAGGAGGTGTCGCAGTCTCAAGGACTTTGTAAGGCTGCGAGGAGATGGCTCTGGGTGCAGCCCCCAGGCAGAGCCAGGCCAAGCTGCAGTGACAGACCATCCTAGACATCCAGATGGATCCACTCAGGCGGATCCCTGGGATCCTCAGGGCTCTCCCCTGGCTGCAGGTGGGAGCTGCCCAGCTCACAGCGCCGCGATGGCCTTGGCCGCGACGCGTCGGCCCAAGGGCAGGCTGAGATCCGTGATGGCCAGGACAATCTTGGGGCTGGACATGGTGGACACCTTCACCAGCTCTGAAACCTGCCCAGGGAGAGAGGAGAGGCACAGGAGAGTGTCCCTAGGGCTGGAGACAGGCAGCAGGACCCCTGGCTGTGCCCCTGTCCCCAGGGCTGTGTGCTCACCACGGTGAAGGGCATGAACTGGAGGATGCTCCCACGGCTGCCCTGCTCCAGGCACTCCACACACTCCTCCATGAACCACTGCACAAACTGGGTGTGGGTGCCAGCTGTCTTGGCCCCCAGGATGGAAGAGATGAGCAGGAAGAGGTTTGCTGTGGGGACAGGGAGGTGTCAACAGTCAGGACAGTTCTGGGGGGCTGAGGATGACCTAAGCTCCCACCAGTGTCCCAGAGCAGCTGGATGTGACCCCACGGACCCATCCCCACCTTACCCAGCACCCTGTTCAGTGGGTCCCTCATGCTGACAGTGTGGAGCTGGGAGGCAGACAGAGAGCTGCTCATGGAGCGATCTGCGGGAGGAGAGCAGGACTCAGGCTGGGAGGAGGTTGGAAGAATCCCTCAGCCCCCCCTTGGCCATGCCAGTGTGCCCACCCTGACCACGAGCTCACCCAGCTCCACCAGGGGCTTTGCCACGAGTGACCCCCATGGAGCAGGAGAGGTTTGGGCCCCTCATACCCCAATGAGCAGAGTCTGTGCCACTGGGACACCCCAAAACCAGAGCGGAGTCTCTGCCCCATCCCTGTCCCTCTCTGCCAACCCACACATGCCCCAGGCATGACAGAGCTGTTCTTGGGGGGTGACACATGACAGCAGGACAAGAAGAGGAAGAGGACAGCAGCAACTACACATCCTGTGTGTCAGCCAGATGTTCACAGCTGCACAGAGCTCTCCAGTCTCCCCTCTCAGGGTGCAATGCTGAGGAACATCCCAGTCCAGCAGTAAATCCCAGCACAGAGCAGGGGGATTGAGCTGACCCCAGCTGTGAAGCATTGCTGGGCCCTCCTGCAGGAGGAACTGGGCCAGGTCTGCTCCAACAGGATGGGAAGGCTCTTGTGAGACCACATGGCCCACAGCTCCTGCCCAGATCACAGGACCCACCTTGTGCTGCTCTGAGGATGCTTACCAAGAAAAGAAATCCCTCCCCCAGTTTTCTCATGGAATCACATGAGCCAAGTGGCTGCTGCAGGAAGCAGCATTTCCACATCACTGCAGCAAACTGCCCAAAAAAAGTCCTGAATGTCAGTGGGAAGAGGTGGGACTGCCTCAGGGGGTAAAAAAAGATAAGTGAAATCAAGGGAAAGGCCCAAATTTCAACAGGAATGAAACAAACCGAAACCAGAGCTTGATGGATGTGTTGAAAACTAATAACTAGAGTAATCTGGGACAAGGGGAGAAATAATGACCAGGGAATGTCCTGACTCACTATCCAGGAGTGTGGACAACGTATGTGGGAGCTGTGACAGCAGCCACAGAGCAGGATATGCCTCCCCAGCATGTCCCACCAGAGCTGTCACAACCTGTGACACCACAGGGACACGGATGTGTCTGTGGGGGCTCATCCCCTCTGCCCCAGCCCTGGGAACAGCAGTGGGATGTCAGGATTTGCCTCCAGACACCGAATTTCATCGGTCACAGCACACTGGCTCTGGTCCCACAGGGGGTGGCTGTGACAGAGCTGTCACAAAGTCCCCCGGGGTTGGGTTGGGGGCACCAGCATGGAGGGAAGGTGTAACCTCACCCCTTGGAGTTGTTCTGGTCAGAGAAACAAAGAGTTTGGCCTTTTCCAAGTGCAAAAGCTCTGGGATAACTCACAAACCACTCCAGAGCTCTAAATCCTCACCCAGATGGATTGGGAAGAGGAGTTTTGTGTAAATACATGTTTTCACACCCAAAAGGGACAGTGAGGCAGGATGGTGTCCCCAGAGCCATCTCTCCCCCATTCCCCACACTCACTGGGGCTGGAGAGGATGTTGGAATCCTCCTCGTTGGAGCTCAGCAGCCTCATGAGCTTGGAGGGTTGTGTGTCATCCAGGGGGAAGAGGCTGATGTAATCCTGGGGGGAAAGAGGAGGTTCAGCCCCACCAGCCCTGGCTGAGGGGTGTCCTGACCCCCTTGTGTGGGGCTGATGACCCACCCTGGGCTCTGCACAGCCCCAAGACTGATCTCAGAGGAACCAGAGCATCCCTGCCTGGGCTGGACACATCGAACCAGCTCCTTACAGCCTTCCTCAGAGAAGAGAGGGAAAACCCTGGTCAGAATACCTCAGAGAGCACAGAGAAATTGGGCATGGAGTCTGGCCTCCCCCACCCAGTGCTGCCATCCTCCCCTGCCCCAGTTCTGCTACCCTTGGAGAGCCTCCAGCCCCTCCTGCTCCGCGCCCAACGCACCTCGATGTCCTCCCGGTGCCTCTTCTTCTGCCGGGCCGAGGCCTGGCCCTTGTTGTGGGAGGAGTAGGAGCTCAGGGCACACCACACCGACAGCCTGGGGACAGAGCAGGGACAGGAACTGCTGCTGCCAGCCCACCTGAGCACGGGGTGTGAGCAGGGCAAGGGGCAGAGCACGGGGTGTGTGCTGGGATGGGACACAGCAGCTCCCTCCTCAGAGGGGACAGCAGGGAATGGGGTGCAGGACACCAAGGTGTCTCTCTCACTCCTGTCAGGCAGGGCCAGAGTGGGATTTGGGCAAACCTCCATCCCTGCACAGAGCATCTCCCCATCCCCCCAAACAGGCCCCAAGGAGACGGTCCCGTGGGTCTGGGGTCTCACTTGGCCAGGGCCTTCCCGGGGGGGTCCATCAGGGTGTGCCACTTGGAGGAGTCTGTCAGCAGGTTGGGCAGGATGTGGCCCAGGAGGGTCAGCGTCAGCTGCTGCATGTCCAGGCAGAAGATGGCATAGAGCAGCTCCACAGCCCTCAGCGTGTGCTCCTTCCGTGTCTCCTTCAGCAGCTCCTGCAGGGCAGAGTCCCCTTGCTCTGCCTGGCAACAGGAGGGAGTGCACAAGGTATAAACACCTCTGGTGCTCATCCCACTGCAAATGGGGACAAAAATCATTGATTTACTGACACTGCTGATGGGACAGGATCATCCTGCAACCTGCAAGGTGTCAGGCTTGCAGGGAGCCTTGGGAGAAAAAGGCTCTGTATGCTGTCTGTCCTCAGAGGGAAAGAAAGATGTGATGTGAGATTTCCAGAACTGCCCCAGCACCCAGCCAGGCTCCTCTCCATCACCCCTCAGCCAGCCCAGGAACACCCAGGACACTGGGAGCACAGATTAGACCCATCACTCCCAGCCTCAGCACCCCACCACGGTGCTGGGGGTCCCTCCTACCTTCACCAGGTTGTTGCAGAACCAGTAGACTCCCCCCATGTGCAGGAGGGTGTCGAAGATGTGGATGGAGCGACTGTCCACCCAACCCTTCTCCAGCACCTTGGTGAACACGTTGGTCAGCACCTCCTTGATGGGCTTCTTGGGGGGCAGAAGGTTCCAGTAGGGAATGGTGTCCATGCCCGTGGAAGGGAACTTGATCTGCGTGGCCGTTTGCTGCAGCACGTCCGCACACATGTGCTCCAGGATGGAGCTCATGATCACCACACTGGCAGGAGACATGGGTCAAGTGGGCACTGGGAATGGGGCAGAAGACACGGCACTGGGAAGTGGAAGTAGGGCAGGAGACGATGTGGGATCAGGAAGTGGAAGCAGGAGATGGCATGGGAAGTGGAAGTTGGGCAGGAAACATGGCACTGGGAAGTGGAAACAGGACAGGAGCTGGCATAGAACTGGGAAGTGGAAGTAGAGCAGGAAACAACATAGGATCAGGATGTGGAAGCAGGGCAGGAGATGTGACACTTGAAAGTGGAAGCAGAGGAGGAGACTGCACAGCAGTGGGAAGCAGAAACAGGGAAGGAGATGGAACAAAACTGCAAAGTGGAAGTAGAGCAGGAAACAACATGGGATCAGGACGTGGAAGCAGAAGATGACCTGTCACTGGGCAGTGGGAACAGGGCAGATGTGGCATTGGGCAGCAGGAACAGGGCAGGAGATGTGGCCCCAGGCAGGGAGAGCAGGCAGGAGCTGCCCCAGGCAGGGGGAGCAGGGCAGGGGGAGCAGGCAGGAGATGAACCCCAGGCAGGGGGAGCAGGGGAGGAGATGAACCCCAGGCAGGGGGAGATGTGCCCCCAGGCAGGGGGAGCAGGGCAGGGGGAGCAGGCAGGAGATGAACCCCAGGCAGGGGGAGCAGGGGAGGAGATGAACCCCAGGCAGGGGGAGATGTGCCCCCAGGCAGGGGGAGCAGGGCAGGGGGAGCAGGCAGGAGATGAACCCCAGGCAGGGGGAGCAGGGGAGGAGATGAACCCCAGGCAGGGGGAGATGTGCCCCCAGGCAGGGGGAGCAGGGCAGGGGGAGCAGGCAGGAGATGAACCCCAGGCAGGGGGAGCAGGGGAGGAGATGAACCCCAGGCAGGGGGAGATGTGCCCCCAGGCAGGGGGAGCAGGGCAGGGGGAGCAGGCAGGAGATGAACCCCAGGCAGGGGGAGCAGGGGGGGTGCCCCAGGCAGGGGAGCAGGGCAGCACACAGCCCCGTGCCCGGGGCTCACCGCTCGTTGTAGAACTGCAGTGTGTTCTCCCCGTAGAGAGGTGTCGCCAGCTGTCGGATCATCTGCAGAGACTTCTCGCGCTCGTCCAGCCCCAACATGCGCACGTGAGCCACCAGCCAGGCCACAGCACACACTGCCATGCTGCACACCTTCCCCTTGATGTTGTCCGTGATTTTCTGGGACAGGACACGGAGCAGAGATGTGGACACACCTCAGTATCACCTCCCAGCTGATCCCTCCAACTGCAGGGTCCAAACCCTTCCCTCCTCCACAGTGTCCCTGTCCCTGCCAGGGGGCAGCGTCGTGGAGCTAGAGCCACATCAGTTCCTCCCTCCCAAGTCTCAGCGAGCTCCTAGGTGGCTGCAGGAGCAACTGGGGTAGGAGAACAGGGGATCCCTGAGCTTCTAGACCCTTGGCCCCTTCTCCAGACCCAGCACAGTGTCCATGCCCCACCTGGATAGACTCGAAGGTGAGGACACCGTTCTCCCAGGCGTTGAGGATCTCCAGGATGGCAGCTGAGATGCTCAGACACACCTCATGCCACTTCATCTGCCTGCCAGGGGGAAGGTGGGGGGTTCAGGCACAGCCACAGGGCCAGGGAAGCTGGGTGGGGGCTCCCTCAGGGCTGACAGGGTGGACACAGGGATGGGCTCTTACACCAGCTTCATCTCGGAGGAGTTGTTGAGGAGGGCGACCAGGGACTCCACCTTGGTGGAATCGGGGCGGAAGCAGGGGTGGTCAGGGTTCAGGATCTTCCCCTCCTCAGGCATGCAGGTCAGCATCCAGGTCTCAAAGAAGGGCACCTCGCCCGGGGGGGTCGACTCTGAGAGGATCACCTGCAAGGGAATTGGCACGGGGTCAGCATCCCCCAGGGACCCTGCTGGGGACACCCAGCCTGGTGTGGGACACACATCATGGGGTCTGTCCCCCAGCCTGGGGTGAGAGTCCTATCCTGGGATCTGTCCCTCACCCTGGGGTGAGACCCCCACCCTGGGGTCTGTCCCCCACCGTGGGGTGCTGATGGCCAGGGGAACAGCGCCGCCCTGTGGCCTGGAGGGAGAGACAGGTACTGGTCAGCCCCCAGTATGCACTGGTTTCCAGTCTGTGGGCTGTGGTTTCCCCCAATACCACAAGGCTCCCCAGAGGACCAAGGAGGAGAGATGCCAGACCAGAACCAGCCCTGGGGGGCTGTGAGTGTGGTAGTGAGGTTAATGTGCCCTGCCCAGAAGGGTCCCTTGTCCCCCCACCCCACTGAGCAGTGCTCAGGGTGCCCAGCATCAAGGCTGGGGTCACACAGCCCAGCTGGGAGGGTCCTGGGGGGCCCACGAGCTGTGAATCCCACATGTTGCTTCCTCCCCTCAGCCTGTGTCACCCAGGGGACACTATTTCTGTCCAAAAAAAGCTCTGCACATCTGTTCAGCAGAAGCAGCAGCTGAGCAGGAAAGTCACTGGGCTGGGATGGGGGATGAAATCTCATCAGACAGCCCCAGGCACACCCCCTGAAGATCCCCCTCCTGCTCCCCAGGGCAGCTGGGCAGGACCCCTCTCTCCCCATCTCCTCATTCCCACTGTTTCAGTATCATTTCACCTCCCAACACACACAGATGTCGAAACCTGGAAAGTTTTCATGCAACCAAAGTGCTGTTTCCTGCTCAGGGCTGTGAGTTCCTCCTCGGATCAGGGAGGGCTGACCCTGTCTGGCTGTGACCTCTCCCAGCCAACCAGTGCCAGATTGGAGGTGCAACACTGGGAGAGGTCTGGTGAGCTCAGAGCCAGCCTGGAGAGGCCATGGAAGCAGCACTCCCAGTGATCCCACTGTCCATAAATGGAGTATGACCCAAGCTCTCAGGGCGGTGAGAGCCAGCCCTGCTCCATTCCCAGGCATCCACAGAGCCCCAGGGAGAGATTTCCAGGTGACAGGTGCTGTGTGCTGTGGCCCAGGCTGCAGGGACAGTGGGGACAGCAGGGACAGTGGCAGGATGGCCACTAGAGGAGGCTGACAGGCTGCAGCAGCACGAGGGCTGCGCTGGCAAGGTGAGAGCCTTGGATCCAGCCCCTTCCATCCCCTCAGAGGATCCAGCCCCATCCTGGATCCTTACCTCGGAGCCGTAGGTCTGGGCCACGTGGCACAGCATGAGGAAGGAGATGTCGAAGAGCAGAGCTCGAACTGAGCCACTCTTGGCTAAGGGAGGAGAAACAAAGACCTTGTGGGTCTCCAGCCTTGGCACGAGGAAGAGCAGGACGTTGTGAGCACAGGGGTCAGGGCCCTGCTGCCTCCAGGCAGCTTTTCTCACTCCCCCAGAGCTTGTGTGTGAACGAGGGGATGTGCCAAGTGCCTCCCCTCACCCCATGTGCCTCTGCTTGAGCCCCCAAAGCAGCTCTGGCCTCCCCCCGGGCTCCTCCAGCCCACCCCGGGCTCCCCCTCGCCGTGGAAGGTCAGAGCACTCTCTGAGTTTCATCACACACACAGGGAGTCAGAATCCTTATCTGGGCTGTGCTGACACATCACCCCTTCCACGGAGGGAGCCAAGGGGCCCCCAGGCTCAGCTGGGGAGAGGGAGCCCTTCTCCTGCAGGCAGAGCACATTTGGGATGGACACGAGTGAGAGGGTAGAGATTCTTGCTGGCCCCTGTGCCCCCTCCCTACTGGCACCCCCAGCTGGGCCTGGCACAGCTCAGCTCGTTGTGGCACCACAGTCAGTCTCAGTTCAATCCAGCCAAGCCCATCCCAGCACGTGGCAGGGGGGCCCAGCTCCCAACCCCCACGCAAGACACTCACAGATTTCTCCGGTGATTTGCTTGGTGAATTCGTTCAGCCTGGAGGGGCAGAGAGGGGCAGTGAAGCATCACCAGTGCAACAGGCCTCTTCCCACCCCCAGACAAGCTGCCCAGCCTGCAGACCCCTCCTTGCACCCCATCCCAGCTCGGAGCACAAGGAGGGCAGGAGTGGGGTCTGGCTCCACAGACACTCTCCAGCACCGTGGGGATGAGCCCCCTCCTCCCTGTCTCTGCTCCCTGCAGCCAAACAGGTCTGGCCATGCTGCTCATCCCACAGCCCTGGGCTCTCTCCAGAGCCAGCTCTGCCCAGCTGTGTGGGGGTTTCAGGGCATGGATCCCAGACAGACACCCAAGCACCCGCTCCAGCTGGTGTGGGGGAGCTGTCACGCAGTCCCACGCGTGCTGGTGTGTGTGCTGTAACCAGGACATGGGTGTCTGGGGACAGAAGGGACACACAGCCCTGCGTTTGGGCTCTGCCAGGGTCATCATTCCTCTGAACACCCCCAAAGCACCCTGGCTCCAGTTCCCTGTGCTCACAGAGGTGAGATGGGGTGCTGTGGGGTGCAGCCTCCCTGTGATCCCACCCCTCCCCAGTGCTGCACTGGGCCAGAGTGGAATTCCTGTCATTCCACTGCAGCCCTGAGTGGGGGCCAGCCTGGAGGGCTGCCTGCTCTCCCAGCCCCCTGGTCAGCAGGGACAGTGCCATCCAGGTGGACACTCACTTGACGAACTTCCGAGCGAAGGATTTCAGCTTGCCCGTGGCTGCTGCTGCTGCCAGCAGCAAGTCCAGGCTCTTCCCAGACAGCATGTGACCCAGGACCCCCAGCAAGCCCTCGGGGGACTTGGAGTGATCTGCATCCATGGTCTGGAAACAAAAATAAGAGGAAATCAAAGCCAGGGAATGTGTGCTATGGAACAACAGGAAAACTCTGGCCATGGGGGTACAGTTGATCAGCTGCCAGAGCTGTCCCTGAGGCCTGGGGGAGCAGGGACCCAGAGGATTTGGGAGAGGTGGGATGGAGTCCTCCACACCCCTGGCACCAGCAGAAAAACACCCTGTGGCATTCAGCAGCAGCAGAACCAGAGTGACACAGGGAGTCCCCAGGGACGGGGGGATGCACAGGGAGCGGCTGAGTGGGATGGGCAGAGCTGGCTGGGCTCAGGCTGCTGGCACTGATAACATGCCACCTGACAGCTCCTCCAGCCTCCCAGGAGGTAGGAGGGGAGCTCCTGGTCTCCACGGAGGAGCAGCAAGGCTGGGAGTGACTCCTCCTCTCCTCCAACGCAGCACAGGGGGAGATCGGGCACCTCCCAACCACCCTGGCTGCCTGGTGAGATCAGTGCTGCTGGGAAGGGGCTCTGGGACTGAGCCCAGTGTGCCCAGCACAGCTGCAGGAGGGACTCACCTTCAGGATGTTGGTGACAGTGGGCTCAGCCCTCAGGATGAGCCCTGGGTTTGGCTGGATGTTGGCATTCTCGGCCGATTTCAAGCACGGAGAGTTTTCCTTGTCTGCTGTCCTGGAGGATCCCAAAGAAGGGCCAGTGAGGAGGAATCCGAGGAGGAATCCATCACCCTCCTTCCCTCCTCCCACCCAAGGGAAGGTCACCACCTCAGGCCACCACCAGCTGCCACTGTGAGGGGTCAGACTCTGCTCATCCCCAGTCTGCCCTGTCCTCCCAGCCCACGGTGTCCCAGTGGCAGCACAGCTGCTCCCTCATGCTCCCCCCAAGATGAGGTGCTCCAGTTCCACTTTGGGGGGTTACCCAGACTTTGGGGGGGCTGTACCGTTTGTCAATGAGGTTGGTCATGTTGGCCTCGGAGAGCAGCCCCTGCTTGCTGCACTCCTGCAGGAGCAGGCTCATGCAGTTGCAGCTGGAAGAGAGAAAGGAGAGCTCTAGCCCGAGGGACAGCATTCCTGACACCACAGGCAGTGCCACAGGGCAGGGGGACTCCCCAGCTGCCCTCCTGGCCCCACTCCCACCCCTCTGAGGATGCTGCAGGGCCCAAAGCAGCTCCAGGTGTCGCACAGAGGCATCACCAACACATGACTCAGCTGTCAGACGCTCTCTGCCTCACTCCTGTGGCAGCAGAGGGTCCTCAGGAAGGACGAATTGGATCAGAAACCAAACCAGCCCTGCCAGGACCCTGCACTGAGGACAGGGTGGCTGTGGCACATGGCATCATGTCAGTGCTGGCCACGGGGAGCACTCACTTGCAGCGCTGGTCAGCCTTGTCCAGCAGAGGCGTCAGCTTGAGCAGGAACTCGAAGGCACAGTTCACATCCTCAGTGAAATCCTGCCCAGCACAGAGCCAAGCACTTAGCTCACCATGCTGCCAGCACAACCCCACCTCCCCCTCCCACCACCTGCTCCACGAGGGAACCATTCCCCCACACAACTCTGACCAGGCACCAGCACCACTGTGACACACACAGCACATCAGTGACCCTCCAGACTCACCTTGTCCCCTTGGGGATACTTCTTGAGTTTAACCAGGACCTGAGGCATCTGAAAGGCACAGGGCATGGTGTGACATCAGGGCAGACCCCACTCTGCAGCCAGGACCCCCCACAGCACCAGCCCAGGCCAACACAGCTGCACACAGCTGCTCTCCCATCCCAGGGACAGGAGCGTTTCTGGAGCAGTGTGTGCACTCAGGGGATTTGTGTTCCTGTTCCCCTCTGCAAGGTCCTTCCACTGTCACAGGGACTCACATGTCCCCCACAACATCCCAGGAAAACCCACTCTGCCAAGCAAAGTGGGGCTGGGCTGAAAGGAGAACCCTGGACAGCAAAGCTGATGCTCAGTGGGTGGCAGGAGGGCTGGGGTGGGCTCAGG